CTCTCTCAAATAAATAAATAAAATCTTTAAAAAAAAAAAAAAAGAATGTAACCTAAAGAAATGAATAGATCATTTTGATTTGGGGAGAAAAGTCACCAATAACTGAACCCACACCTGGTAAAATCAATGTTATACACCTAAATGATTCGGGATCATCAACAACTTCTTACGATTTTTGTTTTGCTTTGAATGGAAACTGACACAGACTGTGAACAGCAACTGATGAGGGAAAAAACTTATTTAGCTACCTGAAAGCTTGATTTGGTTTAAGCTTGATCACAGGAAAGCATTTTGCAGTCCTTACTACAAAACCCTCACTCCTGGTATACCCAAGTACATCACTGATACAGTAAGAGCACAGCTAAAGAAGGGTCAGGTTTTCATCCTTCCTCCCACTTTTCCTCCAAAAATCTCACTGCTATTCTCTGATGCCAGCCTCCCAATTGAAAAAACTTATGACCTTGAGCCCTGTCCTCTCAGTCCCAGCACCCTACTTTAAAAACAGGAAAAGTTAGTCTTAGATGTTCAAAAACTGTTTAGCCTTCCCATTAAACATAAATCACCAAGAATGTGATGCTGATCAAAACATCAACAACCCAAAAGATAGCTCTAAATTCCAGGTAGAAAAAAAAAAAAAAAAGAAAAAGAAATTCCAGGTGAATTTGTAAGGATAATAGATCTACAATGGACAGACAGGAGAAACGACTACTTTCAATGCAAGGGTCAAACATCAAAAGGTTTCTTCCTTCAACCACAGACCCATATGCAACTCTTAATTCCAGAGCTCCTCTAAGACTGCCCAGTCTTATGTACTCCAATGTCAAGTGCAACTACTTCGAGTACTTACTTGTCTTGGAAAATGTTCTGAGCAGTCACTTGATCCTTCTTCTTGATGACTTCAGTCAGAGGGAAAACGGTCTTTATTTTAGAGAGCAGAATCTGACATTTAGCTGTCACCTCAGTGGGGGGGTCCAGCATATTCAAAATATGCTGCTGAATAGGGGGCAGAGGCTCCTGGGGATGTAAAGCTCTATGTAGCAGACACTGTGGAAAAGGAAGAGGGGTTTTAAAACACAGATGTAGACATCATACCCACCACTAGACTTTCCTGATCGGAGATCCTCTGTGTTTAGTTTGCGAGGGCTATAGGATTCCTACCACCTCTAACAGGGAACAAAGAGGTGGCCTCAGAAGCACCTGGGTTAGCAGGACACCGGCAACATCTACAACCAACTGTAAACTAGATCTGAGCCCAGCAGTGCCATCAGCTGCAGGCCTCTTAGAGAAGAGGCTCATCTTACAGAAAGAGGCTGCTGCTTCTACCACCCAGACAATACGCAAGCCTCCCTAAGACGCATCATTCCAGAAGCGTCTAATCCTTTTGGCTTCCCTCAGCAGACTGCTTTCTCCCTTGCATAATCTTAGACAACAGTGTGTAGCAAGTGAAAACGGGGCTCAGGTGGAGCTGCCAAGCTCGGTGAGTCCCAGGGAGAAGTCTGCGGGAGAGACAGAGTACTGGTCTGTCCCAAACCCCCAGAGTGCTGAGTTTGGGCTCTTCTCCACTGGTCGATCTACTTCTGTCCATGTGCTCTCCCAGCACTCTTGTCTGGGGACCAACCTCTCGAGTGGGAGTCACCACAATCACCTTCTAACGGGGTTCCCTGAATCTATTTTCACTGTCCCGCATAACTGAAGCCGTCTTAAACCAAGCCCTTCCCACACCCGAAGAAGTCAAGCACACCACAGCGCCTCCCTCATCTGCCTCCCTCACTCTCCCACCCCAGCTAGGACAGGCTCTTCCTGCTTCACTCCCACGGCAGTGCAGCCCAGGCTTTGGGGCCTGTTTTATCACTCTCTCTGGCTCATAGGGCTCCCCCTAGATCTCATGGAGTTGGCCCTTTTCCATCCTTCTATTCTCTGCTCAAATACCACCTCCTCAGAGAGGCTTACCCTGACACTCTACTCCCATCCTGCCGCCCAGCTATTTCCCGTCACCCCTGTTTTATAGTTTGTAAAGCATTTGTCATATCTAAAATTATCTTATCTTACACTTTACTTGTTTATTATTTAACCTCCCCTCTTAAAACCAGAGATCTTGTTTGTCTTGTTTACTGCTAAATGTCAGGTACCAAAAACAGTGGGTGGCACATAATAAGCAGCTAACAGGTACTGGTTGAAGGAATGAGGGACTCTTTCCCGGGACTCTATTTGTTGATACAAGTGTCAGGAAGTGGCACCAAGGATGGGCCAGGATCAAGGCCAGGGCTGGTCTGCACTGCTCCCATGAGTGGAAACCTGGACAAGCCATTCGATTCAGTCACCAGTACTGCTTCCCGGCTACGAAGCCAGGCTTTGGCAATGCCAGCATCTGCCCAGAAAAGTAAAAACTCTCAAAGGAATATAGGAAGGTAAACAATAGGAGGAGGACAGGGAGGTAAGCAAAATGAAACTATCAATTCACTGACCTTTTCTTTCCTCTGCTAGAGAATCATTGCAAAATTCAGTTGGAGAACAAGACTCCTACTATTCCCACCTTTAGAAGACTTAAACCTTGATAATTTTAAAGAAAAAAAAAAAAAACCAGGGAGCTGAAAAGTTCTTACAATTCAAAATACTGTTTCATATCACAAGGTATATGACTTATACCACCCCATGGACTGTTTTCCTACCCTGTAGAAAATGTAAGCTAGAAGTCTCCATTCTAAAAAACAAAAAACCTCAGCTTAAATAGTAAATATCATGAGTTTATGTCCTCTAGAACTTTCATGTGCTGCTCCCTCATCTCAGTACACCAAACCACACTCTTCCTTCTCCATAGTATATTCATTTGTCTCAGAGTCTCACTCCCGTTTTCCTCTTTCCTAATTACTCGAGGTTCCTTTGAGCATCAACAACATCAGCTCGTTTAATGTGAAGCAAAAGGAGAAACCAAAGTGATCCCAAACCCTATGAATCTACCCCCAACCTTCTTGTGCATAATTCTTAATTCACAGTGCTCTCCCTCAGGTCATTAAATTACCTACAAAGCTTAGAAAGCCCTCAAGATGTAAGCAGTAATCCCACACGCAACACAGCAGACTACTCTGGCAGATTCTATGATATTCAAATACATTTCTGGGAAAAGAACTAGGACAAACAATGGACAAATATCCTACCCAACCCCCCCACTGAAAAATATTCCAGATCTTCAGTATGAATTCTAGGCAATTCTTTCAAACAGTGTCATCACCCTACAGGAGATGTTCTAAAGCATCAACCACTCATATTTTTTCAAAGGTTGCATTTTAGATAAAACTAAGCAGGATACTTATCAAATTCATTCAATCAAAAAATCTCAATTCATTCAAAAACTGAGGTTATGAGAAAGTAACACTATTTAATAGCAAAGGAGCTGAGATTATAATCTTAAACTTATTTCTATTTTAAGCAACTGTTTTTCCTTGATATGATTTTTACAATTTGAAAAAGACTAGAAAAAAAATCCACAGGCCACATGGTTAGCTTATAAGTTATCAATATGTTGATTTTACCAACACTGTATCAACGATTTAAGAGGCAGGTGTTACGGTACACTTCCCCAAAAATGTTATCTTTCAGCATTTCTTTCCAAAATTAGAAGTAAATTAACCTGTTGTCAACAAATTGATGGTTAACCTCTCTGTACTTTTGCCCCCTACTCCCAGCTCATTTTCTCTCAGCTATGAAATGTTTCATTTACAAAGGAAATGTTCCTGGGCCCCACATCCTCGTTAGCTTCCCGTGTCCTCTCTCTCTTCCC